TTGTTTAGGGTTTTTTGCATGCATAATATTTCAATGAAGTTTCGCATGGGAACTAGGAAGGTTGGCGACTTTATGCAGACGAATTACGTTTCACTGAATTTCGAATCTGATCTCCCGAGCTGGTTCAAAGCACATTTGCATTGGGTTTTGCTCATTGCTTCTCAACGCATTTGGGTTCAGCAAGTTGGTACGACGAATCATAAGGCTGAGAAGCTGGCCGCTGGCGTCTAAGATTCTGAGCACCCGAGAGTCGGGACTCGGGCGTCTACGCAGTAGTTCCATGTAGAGTTATGTGCGCACGTGCGGCCGCTTTTTGCTGGCGCGGGCCGCCGCGCCGGGGGTAGGCGATCGGTCTGGCGCTGCCGGGAGGCCGTGTCAGCCCGTCATCAGCTGTCAGCTGGGACGGCTCACCCGTCAGATCGCCGTCAGATTCGTCACCAGTCAACCGCGCCACGCATCGATCGTTCACGCGTGGCCGTTTTTATACAGCGGTGAGACAGCGGCTCGGCCCGAGAGCTATGGTGTTTGACGGGATCCGGCGGGGGTTTAGGGTAATCTGGGTCATGTGAGAACCGGCGCTCAAGTGGGCTGTCACCTGTCGGGGATGTAATTGTGAATGGTTTTTGTGCCCTTCAGTGAACTTGTGACATTAATGGGCTTATGTGGCTTGGTTAAGATGGTTTTTGTTTTGGTTGTAGAATCATGGCGATCACTGTGATGACATCAACATATTCATACTAAGGAAAACATCGGAGTGTTGTGGTTAACTTTTGCCGTTCTTATCTCTTATCTTTATCAAATCTTGAAACAGAATGCACTTTGGATCATGAACTGCGCAAATTATTCCCTGGCATATATATTCCCTGGTATACCTATAGTGGTCTACTAGGGTTACCCGCGTGCTCCGCAACGCGAAGAAGGGTTATTTTTGACCCGTGGGTATTGGGTTGGTCTGTGTCGGTTTGGTTGGTATCCATTTCGTTCGATTGCTTTTTGACGGCCAAGCATTTTGTAATAAAACAAAAAGATACATCGCATCGAGGTGCCCGTGTCGTATTATCATGCGTTCTACTTAAGAATGATTCGAAAACTGGCGTGAAGTCTTTTGAGTGCCATCGCTGAATTTCGCTAAAAATGACAATGTAATAGTTTGGAACATTTACATTTTTAAGAATACTGTTGCTCATCATGCAAACATGAAGAGTGAATCTTGGACAGAATTGAATGCTCTTTCCAACGGTGCCATTTTCAATTGCCAACCGTATCAGGTTATGCAGCAAAACCCGTGTAATTAATAAAGTGGCACATCATCGACAAACACCATTTTCTCTAGCGATTTGTACCACCTTGGCGTCGATCAATTAGCTATTCACAATTTTTATATGAGAGGCGGTACCTTTCTCTTGCAAATAGGCGTTGATTCAACTCGCTCCATTTAACGGCCACCTAAAAATAAAATTAATTCCAAAATCCCTCAAAAACCGCAATTTTTCAAATAAAAGTGCCCTCTCCGGTGCACGTGGCGCGTGCTATCCTCTGCATTGCACACCATTCAATAGCCCGTTCAATTCTGTACACGATGCTGTTTTCCCCGTGCCGGTCGGACCCCTGGTCACCAAGATATTGCACGGGAACTGGACCCGTGTCGGCCAAAATTAGCCGTTTTCGCCCGATTTCGCACGCCGATTTATACATGTAAAGTCTATGACGCGAATTTGCACTTTTTGAGCACGCGCCACGTGCTCCCTATCAATCCGATCGAGTTGAGACCCCTCAAAGGCACGTCGCGCATCCTTGATCTATAAGTTGTGCAAATTTCAGCGGGCTAGGTGCAACGGTCTGGCCTGTAGTCCACGCAAAGCACCACCAAGTTGGGACCTCGGTAACGGACAGACGCACCCTCCTCAAATAGTAATATAGATGCCTGGCATTTATTTTATGGGATCCATTTATTTTTGTGTTTGAAACAATGCTATCTTTAGCCTGTTCCTTTAACTTCAGACTTCTTGAAGCATTTTAAACGGCACGTTAACACCTGTCGTTTCATCTGAAACTGACATCGACTTACAGCCCATCCCATTCAGTTACGGCGGCCTAAATGCGCACGCAGTTGATGGAAGCTCCAACCCGCGGCGCGGTTGTCCAACGACCTCCAGTAGGTCCTTACGGCGTGGCGGCTGGCAAGGCTGACCGCCGCCACAGTAACTGACCCTCCTTCCCTTGTGGTTGAGAGACCGCCCCTGCTCGGAGCAGCGCCACAAACGCGCGGTCGGCACGCAGCGCGGCGCCCGGCACCCTGCGCCTACATCTCCCACGACGGCTCGCGGGGCCCGGAGCGACATCCTCACACCCGCCTACCTGCTGACGTGGCGCCGCTGCCAGCCAATTTGCGGTCGAATGCCGCCCCTCGCCCGAACCCTCCGTGGTGCAAACGACACCTGTGTAGGAGCGTGCGCCGGCCTCGGACCGCGCCGGCGTCGAGCAGACGCCACCCCAACTCCGGGCGCGGGGGAATGTGCACAATTCAGGGTGCAGGTGAAATGTGCATAGAGATGGGAATGAGTAGCAGGAATAGGAGCGCGGAGCGGCGGAGCCGGCGGGAACGAAGGGGAGCGCTGGGTCAACGATGCAGGGTCGGCGTGGTGGTCCGGGTGCAGATCGGACCGGACCGGCTCGGCCGACTGGAAGGTTAGAACCAAATCAGGGCACCTGTTTGTGCCGTGCCTCGTAGGGGCGTGAGATTATTGTAAGGAAGACTGAAGGTAAACACCGAACACTTTTAGGAATTTGATGGTAAATACCCTTTGGAATGAATGCTTGTTTCGTTACATTGCGGTATAAGGTGTTACGCATAGTTCAACATTGGACTATTCGCGCTTATCTGACAGCATTAACAATGCAAATTACCCAGGACCGCTCCTCGTATGGTCCGATACCCGGTAGCAGCCCACCCACGGAGAGTCTAATTCCCCACGCACACAGTAGCGGCGGTGGACGATGTTCACACCGCGGGAGGTCATGTCGGGGTCACAGGACCGTCTGGGAACGGCCGTGACACAGTGGTAGTGCGGGGTGTAGTTACAAACTACATACAGGAACATTACACCTCGGTGTGTTCCTGGTGTGTACTCATCTGTGCAGCTTCTGCTCCTACAAATGGAAGTGTGTAATAACACTGAACGGAAGGCTGCAGCACGCTTCAAGATAGGGCCGTATCTCAGTCTTGGAAATGAAGTTGTGCTGTTTTAATGTTGCATTTTACAAGTATACCTTACCTGAATCTAGCAACGATTTAAACGCTTTGAAACTGCGGCAATCCCGAGCGCCGCGGAATTGCTGTTTGTTTTGTTCAGACAAGACAGGGTATTTTGCTTGAGGAGTTTGTTAAGGAGCGCTGTTTCGTTAAGTTTTGTTAAGCGCTTCTGATAAAGCTTTGTAAATATCAATGTGGTGCATGTGATAGTGCATTATGGAACTGCCCCATTACGAGTATTCTGCTTCTATGCAGACCTTTGCAAACAATAAATCGTATATCGCTGTGTGAATGAATCGTTTTGTGGATTCAATGCCAACGGATCCATAATGGCCTTTGTCAGTTTGATGACAGTCTCTTGCTCCAAACAAATAGCCTCTTCAGAGGTGGCTAATCAGCAAAAATCTGCGCTCAATCTCTGTCAGGAAGCTCAGTCTCGCTGATATCGGTTACGTGATGCGGTCTTATATCTGCTGGGTGTTTGGACTCGCAACAAACGCACGTCATATGTTTGAAAAATGAACTTTAATTGCTCACAATGTTGGTATAAAGCCGCCACACAACGGTATCCATTACCCAAGTGGCTATCGTGTATGGAAGGTAGCGAATCGTGTAAGTCATGCCTTTTGTTGACGTGATGGAAAGCTGAGACACCGCTGAATTCTGAGCGGCCACGAACAATGGCGTGAAAAATCGAATTGTAATTAATGGTCATCAAGCAAAACACCTTGTCAGAAGGCGCATTAATCTACATTACTAATGCATTCACGCTTTGGACTAACTAGGAAACGAGCGAAATGCGAGAAATTTACATTAATCTTGGTGAGGATGGCTGACGAAGCGTGGCGTGTGAGGAGACTGTGAATTCAGTGCGGCGCTCGGAACCGCCCCATCGCTACGTGGCCCTGTCACGAGCCGTCCATCGGACGTGAGGCGTGGGCGAGGAGGGCGTGCCCCGAGACTTGACCAAATCCGTGGAGCCACCCGCCCTTTTCCAAGATTCCACTTCAAGTGGACTGATTCGTATCTATAGGAAGTGAGATTCTAGCGCTCCGGTCGGTGATGAAGTATTAAGGAATTGCTTTTTTTACGCGGACTCGTTTAAGGCAGTTTCTTGCTCCAGTTTTACCATCAACCTGAACCAAAAACAGGTTGACCGCCCCAACTGAAGTAAGAGCCGTCGAAGGAGGTGCCGACCAACTATTGATATTCCAAGCATGAATAATTTACGATCAAACTACACATGTTCAGTAGCCGAACATGTCACGTGCATAATGCGGGAAAGTCACACCCTTCCACACCTCGACACATGACACATCCCTCACGAGCACCGCAAATCGCCATACTAACCGGTGTCATTCTGCCCTATGACTGTCTCACGTCGGGACGCTGTTGCCCCGGGCTGGACCTCAGCCCACTCCGTGACATGGCGGCGCGGTCTCTTTGATCCCCCAGGCTACTTCCGGTCCACGGTGTCGGTCGGACCACCCACGGCGCCTCACGTGCACCAGAGTGGCCCGCCGGTCTTTGTGATGGTTGTGCAGTGTTTGCCTACGCAGTGTTTGTGTTAACTTGGGTAAATGTGTGGATACGGTGATTGGACGTTTGCTGTTCATCAAGTAGATGTAGGTTTGGTATCGGATTCTGCTCTGCTGTCGCATTGGGCTGTTATGCATTGAAAGTCATGTTGTTTATTAATGTTTTGCATGGCTCGTTAACACCAAATGTGACGTTTTCTGCGTTTCAGCTGGGACCGTTGAACTCGATCGAAGGTTCATCGCCTCGCTGGTGGCCAACTGCTTCTTCAGCACCTTCCCGAAGCGGTCGTCCATCTCGCACCCGACGCTGCTCGATGTCAACTTCTCCGCGTTCTTCTACTATTTAAACAGGTCAGTGCCTGCATGGATGCCATGATATCTTATAGACACCTGCTGAATGAGTTTTGACTTTATTTGATACGCATGTAATGCTTTTGCATATTTGTAAGTGCAATACATGAAAAAGGAACCTATCTAGGTAGGTCCTAGGATATACAAATCAAATGCCTATCCAGATCTTCAGTTCCACTTTTTGCATCGGCTAATGCCCTTATTTTCTGTTTGAGTCTATTTTTAACTCCATTGGTCCTCGGTAGCGGTCTAATTATGCAAAGTGCATCATTATGCTCCACCGAGGAAATCGCACTTCGATATGGGACCATGGTAATTGACAATTAGTCTGGGCTAGTTTCGGCCATAGCTGCCGAATAGATTGCCAATTATTCATCGATAATGATCTGAGTCATCTCAGTAGGAGCTTATCTGCACGCATATCAGCTTCCCAGGACATAATGGCTTTCGCGTGTAGGTACATATGCTGTCATTACCTACCTCCATTTGCTTTTGAATGCACATCAGCAACTTTCTCATGTTTGTTTTGTTATTTTGTTATTTTTTTTCTGTTTTGTTATTTGCTATAGTGATTTATTCATTGAAGCCGATGAAACTTTTTTCTATTTGTTAGGTACAGCAATCAGTTCGGTCATCAACTCGAGATAAACGTTGCGATTTTTAAACTCATTGGTAAAAAAAAAAAATACGGCTATGGTGTGGTAGATAAAAGGAAAACGCCAAACTATAAATGATCTGTTGACTGGTGGGTGACCAGCAGCTGGGTAACCCGTCACCTGATGCCGTCCTAGCGCCTCTCTCAAATCATTATTTCCTATAGCTATATTGATATCGCGGCCAGGGCTCTTTTCGCCAAGATATACACCTAATGTAGGACCCGGTGACTGTTCTAAGACACCGCCGACAGGCCACTGTGCCCACTGTTGGGGTGGGGCGCCCCACGACCCACCAAATACCAGGCCGACGGCAGCAGACGCCACGTAATAAAGCAGCTCCCTGTTATTGATGACCGCTCCGAGCGCGTTATTGGTGTGTGCTCCGGCATCGGGATCACGGAGCTGGTATACGGGAGACGCCTCTATCTAAACTCGACTGCTCTGATCCCATCACGGCATAGGGCAGGAACGGGCGTGGTGGATTGACGACCGGGCTATCATGGTGATAGGACGACGGCCAGTGCTCTGGAAAAGTGCGCTTCTGGACGTTATCTAGCGTGATCTGTCAGGGATATGCTATCTGCTCCCGGTTGGGCGAATGTAAAATCGTCTGTGTAGTCAGCTGCGCGTAATCTGCAGCTGATTGTGTTGTCCTAGATGGATTACACTGGCCTGGGCGATCGTTTCACGTTTGCATATCGCCCGTTTGATTATTTGAGACTCGGTCTTTGTGTATCTGGGCGGCCGTAAAACACAGCTTCAGATCCGCAGGCTCAAATGTTAGACGTGCGTTGTTAGCTTTAAACAAAATCCGGTTAATTTGAGTTAATACGCGCGTGATTACGGATTGATGGCTCGTGATTACGGACTGAAAGCTTCACAAATAACGCAAAGTTAATAACAACATTAATTCGCTGGCTAAAGTTTCCCTCCCTCCCCCCACCATTTACCTACCGAACTAATTTTCGTGCGACTATCGGGGGTGCTAATTACTTCATCGTTAAACACAATTTACAATGTCATTCCAATTTTATCTTTTAGCGAGGTCCAGTAAAAGATAAAATCTAGGTGAAGCTTGTCTCCGCATGGGTCCAGTGGTGTCCGCCCCCCCCCCCACATTGTAGCCCCACGGACGCCAGCTTATTTGTGGACCAAAGCTCCACATCCCCAGGGGGACCTAGTGCTAATTGGGGCTCTCACCGTGCTCTTAGGTTATTAAACGGAAGCCGATCGACTTACTCAGAGGCTTGTCTGAGGCTTTAAACCCGAGTCCCCGCCGTAGGAAGCTGGATGGCAGGATAAAACGGTCGCGCCGGAGATTGTCTTTGGTGCGCTTCGATCGGCGCCCGTCGGCTATGGCTGCCGAAATCGATTCACAGCAAACAGCTTGTCCCTGAGCGAGGAGACGGAACTGCATATCAATGAGCACTGGCTCAGGCGTCGGACGCGAGTTAACCTGATGGGAAGGATCGGCCCGGAATTTGCAAGGCACGAGCGTAAAAGGGTGCACTTTTATTGCGCGCCGTTACCTCGCAGACAAGCGCGCAGATAAACGCTGTGGTTGAGTGGATCAAATTAGCACTGAGCTACTTGAAGTACTAATTACTTCATCGTGAAACATAAGTTACAAGCTGGCGTGCCAATCCGATGAATGTTGATGAATATTTATGTATTTGCGCCAGGCGTATTTAATGTCTTGTATAAAAATGTGTTTTATCGCTGGGATAACAACCATCCAGTTATCAACTGTGTGAATTACGAGGATCGAAATCACGCGTCAATAATATTGATATCCTAATAAGTCATGAGTTTATAGGCCTCTTTTCGGTATACCTACATACTGTTTAGAAGAGGTCATTATGTCGTGAAGTTTTTTAGGTTGTAATAAGGAAATTAAAAGCATTTCTATTCAAATGGTCTTTATTTTGCAATGAATTCCCTATATTTTTGTTGCGCAAATACATACTTATTGGTAGTGGGCGAATTAATTATAAAGCCTGAGCCTCTTTAGGGCCGTGCGTCAAACGAGCCATGGCTCGTATTCGTTGATGTATATGTTTAACGAAGTGTTAGCACTATGCATTAGCACATGCTTCAGCAGCCCGATGAACGTCAGCGCGAAGTGCTAGCAAGTGCGAAGTTTGAGTGGATGTGCAAACCTGGGCTCGACACAATAATGCCACCGCTTTAGGCCAGATGAGGTGCGAAGTTGTGCAGGAATGATTCTGCTGTCGAAAGCTGCGTAAAGTGGGCATGTTTTGCTCAGTCTGTAAGGAAAATCAGTTGTGATTGGAAAACCACAATCTTACCAGACCCATATTTTCAATCGAATCACTTTCGCGTAGTCGTTATACCGGTTACAATGTGTAAACAATAAACATAGAGAAACGTAAATGCGGTTACCCCTGCCCTTTTCGGTGGAACGGATCCACCTTTTCCGCCCGTCGGCGTTTCATCAATCAAACGCGATACTACGATCGGCGATACATAAGAAAGGATACTGATTCATCGGTTCGCCCCGCGGATCCCGCGGATATGGTGTTCTCTCGATGTTGTTTCTTGACGGCTGTCCTGATAGCCTGACAATGTTGTGTCACGTGCATGCTGGCGTTCTGCTGGACCTTTCAATGATCGATTGTGAACACGAAAGGCGTTCCGTTTTCAACACAGCAAAATCGGTTACATGCGACTATGGTTGGACTACAAATGCGCTGATAGGACCACTCTCTACCTACTGAGTCTGAGCTTTGGTGTGCCGTTCCAGCATCATGACACCTAAAGAAGCTAATGCATGACTGTTGCCGACTTAACCCTATTCCTGGCGGGGGGGGGGCCTCAGGAGCCCCCCCCCCCTGAGGTTTTTTGGTTATTTCTCCCAAACGCGTTGAGCTAGGAAGCTCAAATTTTCTGACTTTTCCTAAAAGGCTTCTACGAAACATGTCTGAAAATTTTGAGTTGATCTGACCTCAGGTCAGGTCACCAGAGGCGGTTTGGTGACCCTACCTCAGAAAAGTTTGCAATCACGCCAGAGCTAGAGTTTTTGACCGATCAATTTCTTCTCTTCAGGCTTTAGTTAGGGTACCAGTATGTGCAATTTGTATATCTCGGAATTTTGATATCGGTGACCTAAGGTCAGGTCAGTTTCGCGACCTCCCCATTATAAGTCAATGGGGGAAAAATCAACTCCCTGTTTTTACCACTAAAACGGGTCGGAATGGCCCCATATACCATACATGACTTCATATACGATCAACCTTCACTACCTTGAGGTCTGTTTTGCTGTTGGGCAGCTGTGAGGTCATGTGACGTCATCAAAGGTCACCAAAGGTTTTTGGCCAATAACTCCGTACAGGAACAAGATACAGACGCGTGGATGGTCTCATTGTGTTCAGCTCGTCAAGACGCATCGAATGATATACATGATGACCTCGAGGTCACGTGACCTGAGGTCAGCCTTTGACCTTGACCTTGCGAGGTCAACATATATATCATTCGATGCGGATTGACGAGAGGATCACGATGCTGCCCTTAGTTTGTTCCTATCTCGACTAATTCGAAAGTTATTCGAGAAAAACTCTCCATATCTAGCGCCGCCATTTTGACTTTTTCGACCCCTGTGACGTCATCTTTGACCTGACCTGAAAATGACCTTAGTAAAAATTGTAGATCTTGACCGTGCGTATCCGATGCCGTTTACCGTTTGTCGCTATCTTGCTTCGTTCTCGAGATCTCAGGGGGGGGGCCGAATCGGCCCCCCCCCCCCGCCAGTTTCTTGTCCCGGCGGAGCCCGCCAGGAATAGGGTTAAGTAGCTCCGATCAAAATAGCATACTTTCCACGATTAAAGGAAACAGTTCACTTTCCTGAAATTAGTATTTTGCTATGGATTTACGATTTTTTATGCTCAAAATGACCAGAAAATAAAATAAAACCTTTTTGTAAAAACAATTATTTTCTATATTTTAATATAGGATGAACTATATTCTATGTAAAATAATGTTTGACGCGGAAGCTTATTACGCGTTGACCAATCATATTGCGGAGTTCAAACCTACGCATGCTGCATTAGCTGTAAGCAGCATGCTGATTGGCTGACGATGACGTGGCTGCATTCCTGTGCAAGGCACACATTCCTCTGCAAGGCACTCTTTTCGGAACGAGAAATGGAATATCTTCGTCTAGGGTGATCGTTGAGCCGTAAAAGCTCCTGATTTGTGCTAGTCTCAGCTCAAGCTACGAAACTGCTATTCCAGTTCAAAATCCCATGTTAAAAGTGAGCTATTTCCTTTAACCTTCGCATTTGATAGTAAAGGACGACTGATCGGCATGCAATCTCACCCCATTTCATCCAGCAATGCATTAGGAAACACAATTTTTCTAAGCTAATCAGGAGTGAGATTGAGAAGACAAATAGTTGTTAGGTAGGCATTTCAACCCTAGCTCTTACCTCTCATGTCTGATTGCAGCCCATGGCAGCGTGTCAAATTTGAGGCGATCCTGTTGTACTTTGAAGCTCTTTCAGAAGCGGAACCTACCGGTCTTGTCACCTACACCAGAAAGGTAAGCATGTTTGCACTCAATCAACCAAAAAATTGTGAACGACCAAAAGTTTTAAATGGTTCTTCAGCTATTGGGGCTATGTATTTATGCTATGTTACTGCGATATTCTATTCCTCTACGCATATTCCAGAATGTAAACTAATGTACTGATGTGTATCAGCTCAGTCAGTATCTATATTCGCTGTTGTGTTGGGCAGGTGATGAGCGGCCGCGAGTTCGCCAGTCTGGCCGACTGGCTGGGCTGCTCCAAGCCTCTCTGCCCGGTGGTGGTTCGCGACACGGGCAGAATAGAGGACGCCGAGCCGGGCCTCAGTCAGGTCTGCTTCCTCAGCCCGCAGCCGGGCGGCGACACGCTCAGAGACGGAAGGTCACAGGTCAGTGGCGGGTCAGATGGAGTCAAACACAGGTCAGTTGTGAGTCAGATGATGGTCAGAGAGGTCGAAGGTCAGTTGAGCTCAGCTGAGGGCTTTACTAAATGGGGCATCTATGCGAAAGATTGTGTATGCTATAATACGAGTATAAGCAATGTTTGTCATTGTTTATCTTTTACGTTCTATCTACACCAGCTACCGTCTTTAGTAGACCGCGCCTCGCGGCTCATCTTTAGCTGCGCAGACTCAGAAATTTCTATTTGCTGAAGCGATTGGTCTGTATTGCTTCTTCGCTGATCATAGCACACTGCCATCCATCCGTCTACCGATCAGCCGTACCGTGCTATCTTTTGACGAAGTCTGTTCGTGGAACATCACTTATAAGACGGATTAGCCGTCGGTAATCTGGTAATTATGGGATCGGATGACCGGCCACCGCAGCACTGCTCCGGCCACCGGTACGGGACCGATGGCTCATTCTGTCACCTAACCGTGTTATTGTCGGAAAATGACGCGATCTGAGTGAGATGGAATAAGATGGATGACGTAGAAAGGTCGGAAGGGGACGGTGATATCCGCGTTACGGTCCAAGGCGGACATGAGGACAGGTGGCGCCGCCGCCGCTCGCATAGCGGCGGGAATGTGAACTAACCTGTTTACCATAGGGGACTGTGCTAACGGCCGCTGCGGGCGCCGATTCAGGCTTAGTTTTGACTTTGTACCACAATTAATGGTTTATTCATAACAAAAAATGGACTAGCGAGAGTCGTGCCGGGATCAGAATTCAATGCTCTACAAAACTAAGCCATTTTCATTGTGATGACGCCATAGACTTCACCGCCAAACCCAATAAAGCAGAAATATGTCGCATCACCGGTGATTACATGCAAACATTCTTTGGCATATAGCATAAAAACCAGAACACCTTTGACTGCAGCGACAATGCGGTACTACAGAAAATTGTATGGCCTACCTAATGGTGCCCATTACTTGATAACTAAGTTGAGTATTTCGTCGCCTAACTCTTGTAAATCTGTATGTCCGCTTGTCTATGGAGTTTGGTCCGTAACGGGCAGAATGGTGGAGGCTCTGGAGTGAGCTTCCACTTTATTACACATCTAGCTGACCCTGCCGGTCGGAAGAGAGGAGGAGTGGCCGCCTAAAGCTAGGTATGGCCGAGTACTCACATTCGGTTTCTGTGTTTTCTCTGGCGCCAGGTAAGGATTCTGAATCTCATTCCGTCTGTTTTCTGCGTTCTCAGGAGTCTCTGAGCCACGCCAGTCACCCGGAGCTGCTGGCGTCGGCCATCTTCCAGGAGCGGCTCGAGGATAACGAGTCGCTGGCGGTGTCGGGCTGCGTCAGGTCCTGTCAGATGGCGGTCAACTCCTCCGGAGCGCCGCACCTCACCCGACTGACGGTAGGTGGCAGCAGCTGTCACACCGGGACCTGTACACTAAAAAGCAGGGTATATAGAAGCTTAAAGCTGCTCCTTTGGTAGGGATAAAGGCTGAGGCTCTGCAAAAGATAATCATTTGAATTAGGTCGTTTGTTATGCTAGCTTTGTGTGGATTCAGTCTCTTACAATAATTTTAGCTGGCAGAGCGCTGACAGTGTTTGTGTCCGATTAAATAGTTTGCGTTTCTGCCACCAGGCGTCAGCTAGGAGCGCCTCAGCCAACGGCCAAATCTGCTGTGTGGACGCCGAGAGTTACACCACTCTGCCCGCTGCTCAATACGACGAGGACGCCATCCTTCGGGAGCTCAACAAGGCCTACCTGGGCTTCCAGCAGCCGAAGGTGACCAAGCGACTGAGTCCGATCGGGGAGTCAAACGGCCCCAGCCGGCATGTGTCCGTTTCACCCGCCCTCAGTGAGGTCGGAGAGACCCCGGAACTGGTCAACGGCGGCGCGAGCGGCCTCCACAACAGTCGGACGTCCCACGGAGTGCCCATGTCACCGCTGGCCGCACCCCCACCGGAGGTACAGCCCTCGCCACAGGCGGAGTGTGAGGAGCCGGGGAGCCGCGGCGTGCCGCTCCGCCGACCGGCCACCATCGGCGGGCCGACCACAGAGCCCCCTGCTGAGGGGTCACCGAGCGGGTCAGGTGGAGCCACCAGACAGAGCGTGCTCCGACTCATCGGACAGATGCAGCGATTCATTGAGCGTGAGCTGGGCCAGCTTGGTCAACAAGCCAACTCGCAAATCGTCTCACAAATCATGTCCCGGATTCGGACAATCGAGCGAAGTCAGTTGGTGAGACTTCTGAGCGCAGATACACCCGCCCAACCTGCCACCGAGCTGGGTGAACTCCCGAACTGCGATGAGGACGCTTTGTTGACTGTCTGCGAGGCGCTGATGACTGATCAGGTACCGCTAGAGCCCCTGGACGGAGACTACTTCGAATGGAAGCTGGAGGAGTTGGCTCAGGAGCGGTGCGCGGAGCTGCCTGGAGTCGGAGCCGGGAGCCGAGCGGAGCAGGGAGGGGAGCCGGAGCAGACGGAGCCGGGAGCGGACGTTCGAGGGGCCCGCGGCAGGACGGCCTCGGTGGATACGGATGCGTTCTTCAGTGCCTGCAGCAGTGTGGACGACAGCTGCTCACAAGGTGAGGCTGAGAGCGGCTTGGCTTTGGTTATGTAAGGACAGCTCAGGCTGCCGAAACACTGTAAGTAGTCTTATTCGGTTAGGTCTCAATCGGTTAGTTGTTAAATGTTCAGTTTCATAGCAAATCTTGCAGCAATGTTTGTACACTTAATGTGCTCAGTGCACCACCGTGCATAATCAGTCGAGATATAATTCGATGAATATTGGTTTGAGAGCTGACTAATCCAAATGTGTGATCATTTCATGAGATGTGCGATGCTGAGTTACAGCTGGGTCTTACCTCCGTTTTCTTTATCCCCACCCCTCTCCGACAGACGGCCGGAGCGCGGACAGCGGCTGGAGCGGCTCGCCGCCGCGGTACCGTCGCTCCGTGTCGCCCGGCCGGCCTCCTCTAGGCCCCCCGCGGCGCCGCAGCACCTTCCGGGACCGGCTGGAGGAGGCGAACCGGCGCGCCGAGCGGGAGGAGCTGGCCGACAGCCGCGACTCGACAGAGGACGAGCACACGGTGGCCACCGCCGTCCGGCCCGTCGCCGCCGCCGCCGTCAGCGTCATCCGAGCCAACCCGGCCGTCACCGCGGCGTCGGCCGCCGCCGGACGCGCCGCCACCGCCGCCGATGACGGCGATGACGGAAAGATGAGGTGAGGACGGACGATGGGAGTGCGGGAGTGGAATGGGCTGAAGGTCTGATGGATGAAGATGTGCTTAAGATGTGTTTGACTGGATTGTTTACGCGTGGTAATGGGTTGGGCAATTTATGGGCGCATTAGTGACTAAAAGTTACAAATTATGGTGTGTTTGAATCATTCCGGATACCTGTTAGCTGCTATTCTGAGCTCTGATGATCAGCGTTGATGAACGTTCAGGTCGGGCATACAAACCGTCAACGTCATTATACGTTATCTGCCGTCGCCTGACACCCTCCCCTCTGCCCCTCTCTCTCTCTCTCTCTCTCTCTCTCTCTCTCTCTCTCTCTCTCTCTCTCTCTCTCTCTCTCTCTCTCTCTCTCTCTCTCTCTCTCTCTCTCTCTCTCTCTCTCCCTCTCTCTCTCTCTCTCTCTCTCTCTCTCTCTCTCTCTCTCTCTCTCTCTCTCTTTTTTTTCTCTCTCTCTCGTCCCCAGTCGCGCCGGCTCGTCGGTCGGTGAGTACCTGGACGAGGTAGCCGACCAGCTCACAAACGGCCGGCGCTGGGCCAGCCGGCTCCGCGGCAAGAGCCGCAGCCTGACCGGCAACAGCTCTCGCCTGAGCTTCAGCTCCGACTTCAGCTCTGGTTCGTAACACTTTACCGAGAATTCAAAGTATCCAGTTATCATCATGACTTTACTAAAGAGATCATAAATTTTGTACTTTGACTTTAGTCACTGCCCAGTCAGTGACTGTGACACTCGGGTCGCAAGGGAGTGAAACGCCCGGTTATTCATGAAAAAAATGATAACGACTGCAGTCTCGGAACTATCACTTGTGAGTTACAAACATACATTAGACTACAGCGCTCTAACCGTGTCCCCGTGTCTCTGCGCCTCTCGTCAGACGTGGAGGAGTTGTGTGACAAGTTTGGCCACTGGCTGGAGGAGCCCGGCGCCGAGCTGGGACCGCGAGACCTGGCCGTCATGCGGGTCACCCAGCGCATGCTCAAGAGGACGCTGTCGGATACATTCGCCGGCAGTGTGATGGACATGGAGCAGCTGGACACTGCGTGTCACATCCCCAGCGCCAGCGGACTCAGTCATAGTCAGTACCACAGTCAGTCACAGTCAGTACCTGAGTCAGTCACAGTCAGTACCTGAGTCAGTCACAAGTAGTACCGAACTCAGTCACATCCCAGCGCCAGTGGACTCAGTCACAGTCAGTACTCAGTACCATAGTCAGTCACAGACTCAGTACCCACTACCCGTTATTTGTCTCAGTCACAGTCAGTCAGTCAGTATCTGACTCTTATGTCACAGCAGGCCGTATGGTCAGTGCCAGGCTCAGTCAAATACTTACACAGCCCCAGCGGATTCGGTCACAGTCATTACCAAAGTCAGTCAGTCAGTCAGTCAATATCAGAATACCAATGGTATCATGGCGATGGTGTGTGCTCTTGATATGCCATAACCCGTTTCGCGGTACTTTGGTACCCAAAGTCGACAGCCTTTCATGTCCCCAAGTTGGTACTTACTTCTTACCACTATATTTCCTTCACAGGATTGGAGTCTGACGCCCGACAGCGGAAGCGCGCCTGTGCCCGATCTCTGAGCCTCTCCGATCAGTGGGCGAGGGAGAGGCTCGCCCTGGAGGTGGCCAGAAAACTGGTAGAGCCCTCGCCCGACCAGGTATGCTGAGGACCGATCTGCCAGGGCTAGGAGTGCCACTAACCCTACCGATCGCCGGACGAGCGGCCGAGTGGTGTGCCGTGTGCGTGGAACTAAATGAGTTATCACCTTGCATACGATACCATCTTGTAGGTATTTATTTAAATGTCAACGCAACAATCACGCTGTTAAACGGTTATTTATTACACGCATCGTTCACCCTAGCTATTCAGAGTGGTTAAACGCTGTCCAGTGACGGCAATGCCATTTGTTGAGCCTCGTTTGTGACCCCTGCATTATTTTTTTTTTTTTTTGACCTAGCTGAACTAGCGTTTGCTGTGTGCTCGGTGCAACGTGTGTGGCTGTCCGTACCCCTCCCGTGTCTCGTCACTAACCGACCTCCGGGCACGGCCGACCCGTGCCCCAGCCCTCTGCTCCCGTCTGCGCCAAGCCCAGCTCCAGCTCCGTGGTGGAACTCCTCGAGGCCGCGCACGCCGCCACCCTGCGTCAGGAGCGGCTCTGCCCTGCCATCTACCGGTACTTGGAGGAACTAGCCAGCCGCCTGGTTCCCGAATGTGTCCACGAGAGCGCCCTGCTGTTGCGGTTTCACCTTGCTAAACACCGGCGCGCCTACCGTAAGATATCAGCTCGACCGGAGCGGAAGCTGACCGAGTTCCCGCGGCGGCCGCCGGCGGCGCCACCGTCGCCGCCTCCCGCTCCGCCGCCCACCGGGCCTCTCCCGCTGGACGAGGCCACTGTGGAGGGATTCAGCTGGACCCTGGTCGAGCGGCTGCTGGAGGAGACGATCCGCCAGCTGCCCAGCCCCCGCCGGCAGCTGCTGAAGCGGCTCATCAGCGGCCGAGCAATCTCACTCGACCGCAAGAAGGGCATTCTGAAGAAGCCGCGCTCGGCGGTGCCGCGGAGTCGGAGCAGCACCTCCGACAGGCCGCCGCTGCAGGGGAGTCCGGAGGGTGCCCCCAGCAGCGGGCTGCCTGGCCAGACGGGCCGACCGGAGGCGCAGCGACGCAAGAGCCGGCGGGAGAGCTTTCTGGAGGTAGGTGGGCGATTCAGTACTGCACCGGACAGTTAACGGTCGGTTCACGGCGGAAAAAAAACGTAATGGTGAGGCTGTGTGATCCAGTAGATCATCTAACAAACTAATATGTGGAACTTCTAACTAACGGTTTGCCGATGTTGTATCGCACCATGTAAACATGCTCGCCAGTCGTTGCCTCACTTGTTTCAGGCTGAAGCTGCATCATAACGAAGTTCACTATTTAATGTTTTCTTTGAATGGATCAAAGACGCTCTCGTCTTTTACCGCCTCATATCACTCAATGGCAATGGCCTTTATAGATTAATTCATAGACCTCTGTATGTATACAGAGTCCTGTTATTAATTCGATTCTATGTGCACTTTGCGTCTACGTTTCACCACCACAAACCATCATCATGACTCTCTCCGTGACCTGCCCCCCTCTGCCCCGCTCAGTCTCGAGCCGCCGCGGCGGCCGCCGCAGCCTCCGCCGGTGGTGCCGCGGAGGACGCCGTCGAGCCACCCGACTCGGGCCGGCCGGCGGTCACGGGCAACTGGGGCTGCGGCCGGCGCCACGGCGGCGACCCCCAGCTAAAGGCGGCGCTCCAGTGGCTGGGAGCCAGCCGCGCTGAGCTGCCCTGTCTCATCTACTACACCTGCGGCAACGCGGCCGTGCAGACGGTACGGACTCGTATGGATAGAGGAAAGGGGAGGGAATCAGCGCCTGAGGTCCAAAGGGTAAAATATGGTGGGCTGAGAATCGCCAATGCAATGGGTCGAAACTTACTTGGGGTTGCCTGAGTACACACTGATTGTTGCTGACCACTGGCCAGTCACCGCTCGCTTTGACTTCTGACTATATCGATCATCTCCCCCCCCCCCCCCCCCAGTTCCTATGGGTGTGCAGTTGCACTGTGCAGTACCGGTCACCGACCGACACTGGACGGTCGGGGAGCTGTTCATCTCCCTCCTCTGTGTGCACTGTACGCTGGGGATCTAACTGTACCCCTCCCACCCCCCGTGTCTTTAGCTCCAGTGGGTGTGCAGTACGGTCACCGACCGACGTTGGACCGTCGGGGAGCTGTTTGTCTCCCTCCTCTGTGTGCACTGTACGCTTGGGATCTAACTGTACCCCTCCCCCCCCTCCCCCGTGTCTTTAGCTCCAGTGGTGTGTAGTACGGTCACTGATCGACACTGGACGGTCGGGGAGCTGACTGTACTCTTGTGTCTTTGCAGTAGTTACTGGACAGGTTGGTGAGCTGATTGTGCCCCTCCCCACAGCTCCAGTGGGTGTGCAGTACAGTCACCGACCGACACTGGACGGTCGGGGAGCTGGCCGCGGCCGTCCTGTCTCACTGCCACCGCAGACTGGAGGCCGCTAAACGCAGCGCCAGCAGGCAAAGAACGGGTGAGAATTAAACTACCGGCGATCGCTCAGATCATCCATTGTAAATGTCACAGAGATGATTAAATGTCGTAGACCACGCAGTGAAGTGAAGCGATCCCGAAGGCTATGATTTCTTCTAATCGACGTGCACTTGCTTCTTGTTCTTTCAGTGGCCACTCCTGGGGACCTGTTTGAGGACCTGCTGCGGTCGGAAGTGCCGCCAACAGCAGAGGCCACCTTCAAAACCCGCATACCTTCCCTCGACTGAGGCCCACGGCCTGAGGGCCTTAGAGGCGCCGTCTGAGGACCTCAGCGGACCGTCGGAGGCCGCACCCAAGCGTCCAGCTGCGGTGTAGTGAGTTGTGAATTGTGATCCCCGTGGGCCCGATAGTGTTCCAGGAACCGACTGAGGTCCCCGTATTGACCAATGGTCCCTGGTCGGACCAGTGGTCCTCAGGCCGCCAATGGTCCTCGTATCGACCACGTGGTCCTCACTGGTCCGGGCGGGACACGTCTGGTCCCACGTCCCAGGCCTCAGTGAGTCCCGCTAGCATCCGGGGGCCCTCGTACCGCCCTTTGTAGTGCATTCCCAACCCCAAGTCGGCCGTCCCTCCTAGGAGTCGGACGTCCCCGTCCGCAGAGATGCAAACTCCCAGTGGAGATGAAGATTGTGAGACAGTCGTCCCCGCGGGCGACAGTGATACATGCAATAATGATGATACGCGGGAGGCGCCGCGTGTTAGATATGATTTACATGAGCTGAATGTCACATTTGTAGGTTGTGCGATATATTATGTGCATGTTTTCCTACCCTCCCATGATTCCCCATGAGCGCTTCCACTGCTGTGTCGGTAATGCCCAGAGGATGTTGTGGGAAACGTTAGTGCGTTTTGATGGACGCCGTACCGATCTGTAGTAAACCAAACGTCCCGTGTCGAGCCGTCCTATTCAACGAATATGGGCCGGACCGCGCGTTTTTAACGCGACGTGCCGCTTGTTACGAGACGTGCTTCATGCTTGGATGCCCTGCGCTCGTCGTGGCGTGTCGTATATCACTCGATCGTGAGTTATGAAATAAAGATACGGTATTCGTTATGATCAGGAACAGGCGGAAGAGAGCGACGTACTGCGAGCACACGGATATCACTGCCCTGATCTCGGTGTTGATGATGCTGACGTGGTCAGTCGGAAAGCATAATCATTTGATGGATGGTTTGACCTCCAAAATCAATTCGAAGCAAGGTAACAGCTGCATATGCATGTATTGACAGCTGCATATGCATATGCATATTATGTATTGACTCGTATACCTTGCCAGTACACATGTGGGCCTCTGTGAAAAAAAGGTAACAGCTTCATTAGTGCTAAGCCTGGCCAGTGTGTCTTGGCCAGAGTTAAAACAAATCAGTGTTTCCAATGTGGTATCCACCTTTAGCCGTCCCTGTTCCTCACATACCGACAGACAAGTTTTCATCTCCGTCCTGTATTGTTCCCAGAGGCACAAACAGTGGACGGTGGTGGTAGGCTGTCGCACGACCCCACTCGAAGGCTTCCGTGACCACAACAGTAGCACGGGGCCACAGGTCAGACATCTGAGCCACCCAACCCTCAGAATATGTACACGAATGGAGACAGACATGCTCAAGGGAAAGCCTAATCAACGATGGCAGAAGCAGTAGGAAAAAAGGTGCTTACAGGCCGATTTGCACAAGTATGATATGTGGTAAAACGCGGCAATTCATCTAAGACTCCTCACTTACCACATCGTTGTTAACTTTGTAGCTCGCTGATAGCGTCACTCTACCCTAAAACTGACAAAAGCTACAAAACGCAAAACTAAATAACTAAAATAACTACAATGATGAACAATTTTGCACTGTTGGCCTCCCCTGTAGAGAGCCAATATGGGAAGCGGCACCCGCGACGCGTCGATGCCCAGAGCCGGTTCGCCTCGGTTAGCTAAAACGTGTTTCGATCGCGTCAGAATCAGGTCGACAGTTAAAAGGCCGCCGGTGGGTCGTAACCCGGTGGCGGCTCGGCTCAGGCGCGCTGCCGTTGTGGCTCGTAATCGGACGAATCGGTGCCGTCAACACAATATCGACCATCAGCCATCCCCCAATCACGCTCACATTTACACTAACCCACACACACACATACAAACATCCACACGGCATTACGACACACACTCATGGCGGCTCGCTGGAGATCCCTCGGATCGTCCCTAACAAATATCGCCCTGCGCCGGCCGGGCGGCTGGCGCTGCCTCCCGGTGGGGGGCGGGCCAGGCGGGGAGCAGCTGCGGCGGGCCGGTCGCTCACCGCGCTATAACGACGGCGCCTGACGCAGCAGCGGAATACAGGCCACCTTGTGGAACACTTGGTGCGAGTACTTGGCGCGGATCGTCTTCAGGTGGGGGTTGGGCTCGCGGCCCAGCATGAGGTGCAGCTTCTCCGTCAGGTCCTGGAACTCGGAGACCGAGTAGCCTGCGAAGGAGCGGGGCGGATAAGTCAGCCTTGACCAAACTACTAAAATAATGTAAAATTAATTAACTGTATGCTAGGAAAAGGAAAACACCAGTGGAACGAGGAAAACCATAGGGTAGTAGTTCTATTCTAGAGCAAGAAGATGTCACCCCATACCGTCTCTTCCGTCAACCAGCTCTCACCGGAGAAGTATTCCACGGTGGCCTTGATCTGCTCAAAGTGGCCGGGCATCCTCATGTGGACGGCGAGCGCCAGGGCGGCGGCCGCCAGTCGGGAGCCGGCCACCGACACGAACTGGTACTCCATCAGCGACAGCTCCAGGACGTAGCGCGCCAGCGTTAGCACCTCCACGGGCAGCTTACAGCACTGCGGGCAGCGGGGGAGGAGAGTTAGCACCTCTACGGAGAGGGTAACACAGGGGAGGCAGCACCTCCACGGGCAGCTTACAGCACTGCGGGCAGCGGGGGAGGAGAGTTAGCACCTCTACTCAGCGGGATAACACAGGGGAGACAGCACCTCCACGGGCAGCTTACAGCACTGCGGGGAGCGGGGGAGGAGAGTTAGCACCTCTACTGAGCGGGATAACACAGGGGAGACAGCACCTCCACGGGCAGCTTACAGCACTGCGGGCAGCGGGGGAGGAGAGTTAGCACCTCTACTGAGCGGTGTAACACAGGGGAGACAGCACCTCCACGGGCAGTTTACAGCACTGCGGGCAGCGGGGGAGGAGAGTTAGCACCTCTACTGAGCGGTATAACAAAGGAGACAGCACCTCCACGGGCAGCTTACAGCACTGCGGGGAGCGGGGGAGGAGAGTTAGCACCTCTACTGAGCGGGATAACACAGGGGAGACAGCACCTCCACGGGCAGCTTACAGCACTGCGGGCAGCGGGGGAGGAGAGTTAGCACCTCTACTGAGCGGTGTAACACAGGGGAGACAGCACCTCCACGGGCAGCTTACAGCACTGCGGGGAGCGGGGGAGGAGAGTTAGCACCTCTACTGAGAGGGTAACACAGGGGAGACAGCACCTCCACGGGGAGCCACGGGGGAGGAGAGTTAGCACCTCTACTGAGCGGGATAACACAGGCCGGGAGACAACATCCCCACAGGGAGCCATAGGGCAGGGGAGTTAGCACCTCTACTGAGCAGAATAACACAGGGAAGTTAGCAGTTAGCACATCCACAGAGAGCCACAGGGGAGGGGGAGTTGGCACCTCTACTGAGAGGCATAACACAGGGGAGTTAACATCAGTCCACGGAGAGCTTACAGCACTGCGGGGAACGGGAGAGGAGAGTTAGCTCCTCTTATAATGATGTACGGCATTGTGTGGAATCGGTTCTCTGGGTGGAGGGATAGGAAAGCCTGCTTTAGCGTTGCATAAGGTTCTGGGGTGAGACGGACACGGGAGTCGAATTCGCACATGAGAGCATCGCCCTTCAATCTGTGGACCGTTCAGAAAGTGCAGAAGCAAGGAAGCTATGGGGAGAGAGGCTAGCACAGAGCGAAGGTTTTACTGACGTGGAGATGTCGAGTGATAAGAGACCGCAAACACCAACTGCAGACGGCTGGCTTGGACGGATCGGGGAGACATTCGAGATGGGATTTACAAAACAACGCTGAGTGTCCCCGGGTAAGGCCTTGAGGTAGGATTGTGGCAAGGCCAGTAGGATCTTTGAAACGGAATTAATGCAATCCGGTACTGCCAATGAAAAATGGGCAACTATCATGATTCATGGTCAATGACAGCTGTGGAAGCCGCTCCTTATTTTTCATAACCATAAACCACCTACATCCCACCAGCAGCTGCAATCAAACTAATAATTGACACATTTAACGGACGTTCGCGCAGCTGATACCAAGCACCACATAATGCGGTGCAACCCACTAATAGCCGCTGATCATTAGTCCGCCTGCGAACGACACGCCGATGTGGGACTCTGCCGTCATATGATCCCAATCACAGGCAGCCCATTAAACTGAGCGGGAATCGGGTTACCGGCGGGAGTCCGACCGACCGACCGACGGGCTCAGCGGCGGGGAACAGATTCACAGTCATCCGCCGTGACCCGCGCTCACGATCCTACCCTATCCGCCGCCGTTCGGCGCTCCCAGCCGCCCCCCCCCCCCCCCACGCCAGACACTATTCCCAGGTCGGGTGGTGAGAACTAACCGCAGAATATCAAACAACGGCCCAGGGCAGACGCTAGCTTACTCTCAGGCCAGCACGTAGTCTAATAAGTCGCTGTTGTAAGACAACAATAATACATCTAGGGGCGCCCACACCGGGACCTGGCGCTTATCCCCGGAGTCCCAACTCTCAACTAACCCGTGCGTATCGGCGCAGGAACCGGTAGGAGACCGGCAGGCCGACGTCAAAGTTGACGGTGCGCAGGATTTTCATTTCCGTGGCGATGATCTCGCGCCTGGCGTAGGCGTCCTCGCAGATGTAGAGAAAGTCGTCCAGCGGCGGCGGCAGCCGCTCCTGAAACAGGGGAGGGGAACACACGGTTATCTATCGTTCCGGCTACATAGGGACAGTGATGACAGAGAGTGGGATATCGTGTGGAGTAGAGTACCAGTGTTCATAACTTAGATTACATAAAAATAACAACGCAACTTCTTTAAAAAAAAAAAAAAACTTCCGCCGGCAATGCTATGGAACGACGTAAAGTAACCTGCTTCAAAGTAAACGAATATAAGTAACAGCATCCGATCACTGACGACTTTGAAAATAGCCGACCACTCACGTCGAACTTGCAGGCGATGAAGATGGCGGTGGCGCCGACCAGCTGCAGCGTCTCCCTGCTGACCTCGACCTGGGCCAGGTACAGGTCAACCAGCCGCACGGCCAGGTACAGCGTCTCGTGGTTGAGCTCAAACGACTCCTGCACCTCGACCATCCAGTCGACCAGGATGGAGCGCATCATCTCAGTGAGATCCGTCTGAACCGTGCCCAGGTACGGCGCCACCTGACACATGGCCTGTCGGAGCAGCACGCGCAGAGGTCAGAGGTCGGCAGCGGTGGATGTCGTGGGGTGTGGGAAACTGAAGGCTTTTAGTGGCAGATAACGGTTGCAGCGCACACCTCAGAACAGATGGTGTAAAACCAGAGACATACAGACAAACGGAACAGACAAAAATAATCCGATACCTTGTCAGAATACAAAGAAATCACAGACAACGTCCCTTTTAGCCTTCATCTGCTCCAAAAGCAAGCCAAGCATGTCTCTTGCGAGTCCGACAGCATGTTAGCTTTCCAGCTCCTAAAAGCCAACCCACCTCGCGTTCTTTGTAGTGTCTGAAGAGATCGTTGACGTATTCGGGCACGGCGAAAATGTCGCCGGCCGCCTCGGAGTCGAAGTCGATGACGCCCTCGGGCAGCGCGCTCGCTCTCCGCTCGTTCTCGGCGTTCAGACGGCTCACCAGGTCGGCGGCGCGCTCAGACTCGGGGCTGCCGGGGGGCGACGGCGGTATAGCAGTCAGAAACCCAAAGTGACTAATTGATCTTAGACTTAGAGTAAAGTCCAAAAAGAGAAACAAACAATTCTATTGCAGAGCCTGAGCAGGTTACCGATGCAGAGCCGGTGATCACGTCAGGGCAGTCAAATCTCAAAGGGGACTTAATCTTCTTACCACTCTCCCAATATCTAGTTCATTAGTACGCGGTCCCCCTTTCACTCCCTGGCAGTCCCACATTCTCATTAGTTTCCTTACTCTGCTTTGTCACTCAATTCTTCCTACCCGGCCCATAGTCTGCGCTTACCTGTTTCCCTCTGGCGGCGTCTCGAAGCCGGTGGTCTCCTCGGATGTGATCGAGGCCAGGCTGGAGGAGGCGGCCGACACCTGACTGGTGCTGCTGCTGCCCTCCGCCAGGCGCGTCACGCTGACGGACACCCGCAGGTCGGGCAGCGTCGGAATCGAGCGCAGCTTCCGCGCCTGGCGGGCGGTGGGGGCGAAAGGTCAGACCGTGCAGCCACAGAGGCGTGTGGGCTCGGCTGTGGTGCGTCCGTCACGTAGTCAGGTGACTGTGTAGGGCGGGCACTAGTGCTAAGCTATCCCGCTTAGACATTACAATAACTGTTCAATTACTACAGTATCACCTAAGACATAAGTCATCTTATTCTACTCACTAGAGATGTCAATCGGATACCAACTTTTTGGTTTACTGATACCAAACCGATACCAACTTGGTATTTGGTATTTCGAGGCTAACACATTTGGTATTTTGTTGGTATTGTGAATCCTCGCTAATGTTAAAGAGGCTTTAAATTTGGCAAAAAGTTGGTATTTTCCCGATATTGCCAAGTCGGTTCGGTTTCGGTATTTTCCCACGGCTTCTGTTGGTATTTGGTTTGGTATCGGTATTACGATTTTCCGAAATTGACATCACTACTACTCACATTCCTGGCTAACACAATTACACTGCGAATGATACGATTTATTATACGCTGATCGTGTATTCTGCGACTCCTGACCTTTTTGACGGCGCCATCGGCGGCGGCGCCGGCGGCGGAGCGTTTGACGCCGGCGCGCGGCTTGAGTGCTCCGCGCGGCTGGGCGTCGGTGGCGCGCGGTGCCTGCTGTGTGGAGTCGCCCGACTGCTGCTGCTGCTGCTGCTGACCGGCCACCCGGTGCACGCGGCCCTTCCGAACGCCCAGCTTGGTGATATTCTTCTTACCCTTCTCGATGGCCTGCAAGGTAGGACATTAATTATTTAAGGAGAGACAAACACATCAGGTGCGAACGGAATGGAACGGAACGAACAGGAAGGAAGGTACTAAAGTGAATAACAAATACAAGTTGATAAAATGAGCAGAAAACTGAGGACTACTCGGCTCAGAATGTGGCCATCAGACCATACCACCATGCTCTCAGACCTGTACACACCGTATCAGAGCACGTTCAGTGCTCACTCACATTGGAGAGGTCGATGAGCGCTGCGCGCGGTTTGCCCAGCTTCTGTTTGGTAGCCAGCGTCTGTTTGCCGACAGGCTGGGCCGGCTCGTTTTCGGCGTCGATCCTCGGCGCCGGGAGGTCGGCCGGTGCCGAGCGCAGAGAGCGGCGGGTCGTCATCGTGCAGCCTCCTCCTGTGGAGCGGGAGGACACAACGCGTCTAACACACGGAAATCCAATATATTTTACGATAATGACAAGCTGAATGGAAAGTCCAGGCTACGGTCAAATGCGGGACACGGAATGGTCTTACTACGTTTCAAAATTGAAATTCTATGTTGGTGGCATATTTTATGAACTTAAAGTTGCTTTGGCAAAATTTTACTGGTTATTTCATACAACGCTCAGTGTTTGGTGGACTGCGTGGAATAGTGAGCAAAGATCGGGCCTTCTTCCACCAGATTGTTTTTCATGTTCGTGTGACGGAGTAGGTAACGATGATAAGCGGCATTCGAAAATTCGTTGAAAAATCAAGAAAGAACTATATTTACATCTTAGAATTTAAATCAATCAAACTATGTAGTGAAAATGACATAATTCAAGAGTAGTAAATGGTCATTTTCGACAGGTTTTGACATTTTCGCAATGGCAATAATTACTTGTGAACCGCTGGGCTTACATGCCTACATCACGAAAGAACCATTGAATAGCCCACTGCAACTGGCGAGAAAGGACCACGTAAGAGCCGGAAGGACTGTGTCACCATTTATCTGCGCCCTGCGGTACGTTATACTTTCGGTTTCAGTAAACACCATTGCACTGACCGTGGGCGAAAACCGGTGGCGGCCGGTGGATCTATCTTCGCCAGTGGTCCTATGCTGTCATTCCCGACAACCCCGATGAAAGTGGCATCACGGAAGACAGCCCACTCAATCGGACTTTCTTTCTTTTCCGAACCAACTTTTCCGACTTTCTTTTCCGAATTTCTTTAACCGAGGTCAATCTTCAAACATAAAAATTGCCGCCTGCCAGGATTTGTAGCCTTCGGTCACCCCGCAAGTCGGCAACCGCGAAAAACTTTTATGTGAAAAATAAATCATCTAGCCGAACTGGTGTTTTCACAATAGCATTCATTTGTTGGGATTCATTTGACGAGTAGATTTAACTCGTCGGAGACTCAGAAAATAAATCATGGCAGCCGGCAGCCGGCGATTTATCTGTCGTCAAACTAGCCTCTAGTTGAAAAATATAGCTTTGTAATCTATCAATTGAAACAAATGTACATGGGTAATTTTCACATTGTTACAATTTCACTCATTTGGATGCACCAATTTATATATGAGCTGGAAGGAATGTCTATTTTAAGTCAGGACAAAGGTCATGCTTCAAAATTTATTCACATTCTACTGTTGAACAAATTTTCATTTATGAAATCTGCAGCATGCTTTTAGAAAGTTGATAACTTACTTTGAGGAATGTGGGATGTCACTTAACCAGTCTGATGACCTAAACTTACATGGCATGACACAAAAATTGCACATGTACCTACAGGCAAAGTGTTGGCCAACAAGTTTTGCCAACAAGTTGGGGATAATAGGTACAAGAAGACCACAAACTATTCTAAGATCATTAACCAGCATCCAAATGGTTAGTCCAAAACCATTCCCTTTTCACCAGTGCATTCCTAGTGTAAGTAATTTCAAAAGATATAAGCAAGTTTTGGCATCAAATAAGGTGGCCATGTGCATGAGTTGATCAGGGCAGCTCCAACTAAGGAGTTTCTACCCCAGAGACTTGGTGTGACCATTCAACTGTTTTAGGTGCGCTTATAGTATTACAGCACTCATGTAACAGTATAATGAACAGCTGAGGCATATACTAGCCATGGATGTACAAGGTTTGCACTCCGTCTATTATCATGCTTTTAAACACCTAACCAGAACACGTACTCAAGCTGTTGATCAGTGATCAAACTGTAAACTTAATATTGAATTAATGCTACGGTAACTAGGTTATTGATGTGATGTGACCACTGAAACAGAAAAACCCTACACCAGCTCAAATTAATTTAAAAAATACAGACAATTTATAAGCATTTATTCCTAGTCTTTCAATCATATTCAAGCAAGTAAATATTTCAAAACTCACTGAAATGATGATATAACTGCAACAACAGTACGCAAGCAAAATTTGAATGCAATTGCAATTAGTTATTTCAATTTCATATGTCACAACGAACGTGACCCAGAAAAAAAGTTTGCCAAAAACCGTGGGACAGGCGTTTTGCGTTGTGCAGTTTTGCTAAATTGTATAACCAAAAAATAAGAACCATGAAGAGAAATTTCAATGTTTTTTGCTATTCACAATGCTCCTAAAAGGAATCACAATCAGAACATGATGCCAACAAAACATGGATCATATTCACAGTTTGAAACGACTTAATCACTTTAAAACAGACAAGTAATAATCCATATATACTTTGAAATGAATGTGTCGGTAGTATGAGAAATGAGACTGAAACGACGCAACAGGAATTGCTGAAATCCTATACATTATAAGCACTTAAAACGTCAACTTACCGTTCCGTACGAATCACGCTCTTCTAGCTGTCCAATAAAACCTATATTTCTATAAAATAATAAGTAGTAGCGTCAAAAAGCAGAGAAACAGCAACACGCACGCGACTCAGACACCGATCGAAAATTCAAAAACAGCCCAAGAGACGGCAGCGCTGTGATTGGCCCAGACGGATCACGTTCAACCATCTGGACCAATCAGAGACGAGAACGGTGGCAACAGCAACAATCAGCTGTCCCATTGATTTCAGAGGCTTGCAGCTACTAAAATATATACAATCGCAAGCATGCATATGCTTTGCCCATTCCTGGCCGACATACAATATATACTTGGAGTTTTATCTTTTCATTTTCTGACTTATGTATTTTCTATTTATTAAGTGAGCTGTGTTTGACATAAACAATGACAGGAATCGATTTTAAGACCCTAAAATATTCAGGATTGACTGTTTTTACATGAAGCAGATTGAAAGATCGCGAAGAATTTAAACAATTGTCTAGCTTCAGAATTATATGTAACTCAATCCGTTCGCTCAGTGTTCGCGTTCTCTAGGTGCCCTTTGATGGGCGAGCTCGGCAGGACGCCCGGGACGCCGATGCCACAAGTGTCGACCTGCGGTTTTCCTGCCCTCGAGGCTCTCAGCAACGGGCGAGGGACGGGGCTGGACAGCTGGGGGAGAGGAGGGGAGAGGACGCGCGTGCTTCCCACGTACCGAGGCGTGACGCCGGGGGCGACGCAGGTGAGGAACGCGACGCTGAGGGGGAGGTGCATTGAGGGATGGGTGTAAAGGTCGCAGGGCATATTTTAACAAATTTTTACTGCGTCCCAAAGTTGAGAAGAGGGCACGTGCTACGACTAAGGGCACAGGGCAAGGAACAGAGCAAGGCACTTAGGAGGGCAGAAAGTAGGGCACGGCAGGTCACAGGGCATGGCACAGGACATTTTAGAGGGAAGGGTACAGGTCAGGGCACACAGCAGGGCACAGGTCAGGGAACCGGACAGGGCACAGGGCAGGGACGCAGTGGGTCAAATCAGCAGGGGCTACGTCCCAAGGCGAGGGGGCTGCGTCCCAGAATGGGACGCAGTAAGTGCCTTAAAATATGCCCTGAAAGGTCGGTAGGAAGAGAGGGAACCAGCGGCCGAACTCCGAAGTAACTGGTGAATGGTGATGTAACGTTGTAGATAAGGCTCGTGGTCTGAGCCACAGTTATCAGTTTGAGTAAATACAGGCCTTGAGTTGAGTAAAGTCATTTGAGCACTCCTGCTGATGACCACACCATACGCTATCTGACAAATATGTACCGTATGAGACAACTTGGCAGGGCAGCAGTGGTCGAATTTTACGTGCAGAAAGCGACTATTAAATCCAAAACGGTTTTTACACATTCGATTTCACCGTATACTGACGGTCCCAGGAATCACCTCGTTTTCTCGGATTCCTACCCTTCTGCTTTTTTGGCCTCATCGTGACTTTTAGGCTAAGCTAAGATCACTTTCAGTCAAGTGATAGATGTTTCGACGCATCGCGATAAGCACGTCGATGTCAATTGTCAAATGTATATACCTATTCATCGGCATTAGAAGTTAGGTATAGTATAATAGCAAAAAAATTGGACGGCGAAACGGCGAGAACACCCAAGAAACACGGCGTGGACTACCTGGTGCTTTTTACGATGCCTATTGCCTAACTATTATAGCTCTAGAATTCTAGATTCTACTCAAATAGAACTCTAGCCCTCGCTGGCACAGGCCATTTTGCGTCCTTCGACGGCACAAGGGGTACGACCCCCCTCGTGGTACGACCCCCGTCGCGTTTGGTCCCTGATCGAGCTAGAGCTTTGCGGAAAAAAACGAGCGTGCTGCCCGTCACGAGAGGAAGCCGATGATACCCAATTTTAAGGTCCTAGGTCTTTGGGTGACCTTCCAGGTCAGGTCAATGACCCGAAAATCGGAAGTCGTAAAGTGTGGCTGCTATGGGGTTTTTCGGGGTGCTGATCACGAATATCGTGTTAGTTTTGATCAGAGATGATGTCTTTAAGTATTTAGACCAGGTCGGGTCAGGTCAGGTCAGGTCAACCGGTAGGGGTCGTGACGGGTATTCGTAATACGTGTCAACCGCCTCTGACAGCTTCGTAACATGTTACGAAGGCACCAAAACTACTTCGCAAATGTTCAAATGTTTGCTAAATTCGAATTCAGCTACAAAAACTAGCCTAGAAACATGTAAAACTCGACAAAGTGAACCGAGGTCACCAAAGGTCAATGACCTGACCTGCCCTTCAGGTGACCTTGACACCCACCCTAATGTATGGAAGCAACATCAAATCACATGTTTGAACGTTTGAAACCAAGAAAAGCTTGCAAACGCACGGCTAATGCGAGCTGACATACGCCGAATCGCGATTCCGGCCAAACATGGTCTCGGAAAAGAGGTCACAGGTCAAAGGTCATTGAGGTCAGGGTCATGAAATTTTCAGGGTAGGTGTAAAATTGATCAATGCGAGGGTACTGAAAGTTTCGTCGCGATCGGCCGCTTTTTACTCGAGTTATTTGCGAAAAACCTTAGGGGGGATTGCATCATCGCCGGCACAGGGGGGACCCCTGCACAGGGTGTCTTCTCGGCCCTCTTTGCCGGCGAGGGCTAGAGTGGCGAGTAATACATTTTAAAATCTATACCAAAAAAAAAAACTTCATCGATGACCTCTGGTGAAGTCTCAGACATACTTGCACGAAATACTTATTAATTAAACGTAGAATTTGAAGCCTACTCGCCAAGCTTTTGAGCTCCGCTAACGCTTTGTCGCCATTGATAGAGCCGTGTAAGAACGCGGGCGGTAGGTAATCGTCCCCTGATTTTATCTATTTGCTTTTATCGGACCGCTGCACGCTGCATGCGTGTTTTACGAAAAGTTCCTTTCTTGATTTGTACGTTAGTCACGAAGTTTTAACAGCCAATGTACCTAATTAATTCTGGCAACGTAACTATGTGCAGACAATTTTACCGCATCAGACTTCGAGCCTCGAGGTGAAAATTAGCCATGTAGGGGTCAACAATATCGGTTACGACAAATGTAGAATGTAGATGACTCGATCACACTACAGAGTATATTCACACACCAGCGCAAAACCTCAAGAAGAGCACGACAGGACGGCCACCCGTCGACTCTCCGTCACTCATTCGGCGATGGCGTCCGTCTCCTCCTCCTGTTCCTCCCGCAGCGTGCTGAGCACCCTGAACAGCTGCGTCTGTACCACCTCCTCCAGCTTCTCGACGTGGTCGGGCTCGGCGGCCGGCAGGTTCTCCAGCTGGTAGACAGCCACGCTGCCGGCCGAGTCTCCGATCATCAGACACTCGCCGTCGGGGCCGAACGTCAGCGTCGTGTTGGTCGCGCCGCGGGTGACGTTGGGGTGGACGATGAGCGGGTCCAGGGTGCTGACGGCCAGGTCCCACACCTCCACCTCGTGGTCGGTGCAGAGCGCCAGCTGGGTGGCGCACAGCGGGCTCCACTGGATGTCGTTAATGGCCGAGCGGCTGGCGCTCTGCACCACGATCACGGCCACCTTCTGGTCGGCGTGCCAGACGCGGAAGCTCCAGTCTGCCGAGCAGGTGACCAGGACGTCGGCGCTGAACGGCGACCAGTGAGCGCGGTACACGGCCGCCAGGTGGCCGCTGTACGTGAACAGGTACTGGTCCGAGTGGGACGTGCTGCACAGGTGCGCCGTGCCCGACTCCGTGGCTACCAGGTACTGAGCCGTGTTGCCTGGACGGAAGCTGAAGTGGAGGCCTACTGCCGAGCGCGAGATGAACGCATCAGACTTTCGCGAGCGGTTCTCCTTTTTGGTGCTGAAGCTGGGATCGCGACGCATGGACATGACGGGAACCGTCTGAAGGCCCTGGCGGGTGTTCCACTGCAGGACACGCCCGTCCTCCGAAATGGACATCAGCACCTCCCGCTTCGCCTCACCTACCCCTTGATCCTTCAGCACGAACTGCACGTCCCAGATGACACCCATAGGCTTGTCGACTCCCCTGAAGCAGTCGTTGACGGGACGGTCCGACTTCTGGCTGGTGCTGTACAGCGCCAGCGAGCCGTCGTAGCAGCCCACAGCGAGCATGGCGGCGTTCTGCGTGGCGAAGTCGCAGCAGGTGGCGCCGCTGGGCGTGCGGTAGATCAGCGCCGGGTGATCGGGGTTCTTTGGCGACCAGCAGCAGACCAGGCCTGGGTGCGCGCCGAATTGGAGCGTGCCGTAGGTGACGGCCAGCAGGTCGGGGTTGGCCGGGTTCCAGCGGACGCAGGTGACGCGCTGGCCGCTTGTCTCCGGGCAGCGGTAGTTCCAGAGGTGCAGCATGTGCGGCGCCACCATCACTACTGACTGCGAGTGCTCGGCGACCGGCTCGTCGGGCTCGGTCCGGCCCGGCAGCATGCGGCGGAACTGCGCCAGCCGCTGCTGGTACGTATTCATGCAGAGCGCCTTCTCCATGATGAACGTCTTCTCCTGGATATCCGACAGCACGTCCAGCGGCACCTGCTGGGACGAGTCTTCCTCGTCATCGCCTGCCGCCTCGCCCTGTTTTGGAGACTGAACAGCTGGACCGGCGGAGGCGCCTCCTCCCGGCCGCAGCAACGCGCCGCCGACATCCTCCCCAAGGGGATCGTCCTCTTCTTCGTCCTCTTCTTTGGGCTCCAGCTTCTTGTACTCGTCGAACATGTCCCATACTGCCGCAAAGTCGCACTCATCTGCCTTGTTAGCTTGTGACGCTTGAGTACCCTTTATCTTCAGAGGCTCGTTGATTGTTTGCATTGCACGTTCGGTGTAACGGCTGTTACCAGCTCGAGACTTGCATAGCTTTTCATAGGCGGCATTTTTGGCCTCGATCTCTGGGACTTGCTGGTCGTCTTCTGGTACACAGGTACTTGGAAGCTCGAACAGATTGATGGTGTCCGTTTCGGTACAATGGCAAACGACGGGTCTCTCCAAGTCATAGCCGATTTCATCTTCTAAGCTGTCAAAAATTGAGTGATAAGCACTGTGCGTTGGTGCTACGCCACTCGCTAACTCCGACTCCTTTTCTTCTACGATGTAAGTTTGAGAGAACCCCGATAGCATCGTCGAGCGTTTCAAGCCCGTGCCAAGTGTTCCTCCGCGTTTGTCGGTGACAGTGCGGGTGTACGTGGAGTTCATCGGACTCCATTCTGACGCCCCGTCCTCACTGCCTTCACCAAAGCCAAACAAGACACTGTGAGTCAGCTTCGGACCACTGTCTTGGTCTTGGAGTGACAGGGGAGTGACATCTTCTCCGAGTTCACTAATGATTCGTAAACCTCGAGTGGTCGGTCCTGGCTGTGTTGTGGTCAGGACGCTTCTGGCCACCCTACCAGATGATTTGGCAAATTTCGACGATCGATGACTAGCCACGGAGTAATTACTCCGGGCGAATATACTTCGAGCACTTGGGATTGCTTTCTTGTGCTGTTTCGAACTTGCCTGTGAGCCTCCATGCTTCGATGCAGCGACCGATGATCTTGGAGTAGACATTGCCTTAGGGAAATGGTCAAATTTGCTGTTCAATTTAAATTACTAGAAAAATGTTGGTAGTGATACGTACATCTGAATAAAAGTCACATTTTTATTAGCTCCACTTGTTGAAGAAGTAATGCCACTGCACACGGTGCTTCATTTCACGTGCTTCCTATCCGTCCTATTAGAACGGATTAATGGAAAACGGTCCATCCTAAGTCTTGACCATACGTTCCAAAGTGTCTTGCATGACACAACAAAAAGAGAAGTACTTTATGTGGTAGATCTTACGTCTAACGACCTCGGTCACTTCGATAACAACACTAGACACAAAATATTGGCCACGATTCCAGCGCACACAGGTGTTTGCTACGCTACCCAGAATGCAGTCGGATCACTGGCGAACAGCCCAACGTTGCTATGGCAACCCGACTGGCAAATCAATGGCACTTCCCCCGTCCCCGGCATGTGTCTTTTACACCAAAACCGAGCAATTCGGATCTATTGATTAAACCAAGGATTAAACGGACAGCTGTCGGTAAGTAGAAAGCAGCAGACAACCTGGCAATCCTCAACAAAATGGATATATGTATGTAGGCTTTACCTAAGTTATGGATTAGTGCGACTTGGGGACATTATACTTGCTCATACCTACAGGGGACAATATACTTGGATAATGGATAGGCTGGTCCAAGGTAGGTATATAAAAGTACTGGCTGGTCGTTAGGTTTGGTTTGTAGGAACCATTAACTACTCTTTGTTCAGCTTAAAATTTTGTATCGTCTTGAATGGATCGTCACCTATTTGTAGGTACAATGATGCGATCCATTAAAAGTACCGCGTCTTAAAAGTACCGCGCAAAGTGACGGTGGATCCATCAAGCCCGACCGAGGAAGGGCCTGCTATAATTTGAAAGTCACCGAACCAATTGACCTGGGGAAGGGACGAGGATGTTCTTATTGTCCATTGCTTCGATGACTCAAATTTAGCAGTCATTCATCGGTCAGGCTAGATGGATCCACCGTCACTTTGCGCGGTACTATAAAGGTAGGTATGTTAATGTCGGTATTGCATCTATGCACGCATTGTGTACGGATATGTGTGTATGTATGTATGCATGCATGTATATATGTATGCAGATTAGGGTGGTCCTTATTTCCATACAAAATTTTAATTTGTATTTATTCGCGCTTGCGCCCCCTCAAATGATGCTATTCGTCTAGAAACGTGGAAAAAGAGCAAAAAGAGCGAAATCGGCGGATGCTTTTTGGTGGCTCAATGCATATTAACCCTCGTATGTGTTGGGGGTCGGATGGACCCCATGGGTTTTCGCGAATAACTCACGTAAAAAGCGGCCGATCGCAACGACACTTTCAGTACCCTCGAGTTGATCAATTTTATACCTACTCTGAAAATTTCATGACCCTGACCCAAATGACCTTTGACCTGTGACCTATTTCTCGAGACCATGTTTGGCCTGAGTCGCGATTCAGCGTATGTCAGCTCTCATTATCCGCGTGTTTCTAGTATTTTTGCGATTATAAACGTCCAAACATGTGAAATGATGTTCGCCCCATGCATTATGGTGGGTGTCAAGGTCACCTGAAGGTCAGGTCAGGTCATTGACCTATGATGACCTCGTGTCACTTTTCCGAGTTATACATGTTGCTAGGGCAGTTTTTCGGGCTGATTTCGATTTTAGCATCCATTTGAACATTTACAAAGTAGTTTTAGTGCCTTTGTTACGTGTTACGACGCCACCAGTGGTAGTTGAGACCTACTATGGGTAGCCGGCAGGACGCCTAATGGTTGACCTGACCTGACCTGACCCGACCTGGTCTAAATGCACGAAGACATTATATGTGATCAAAACTAGCATGAAATTCGTGATCAGCACCCCCAAAAACATAACAGCTTCACTGTACGAAGCTCTTGCAGGTCCCGATTTTTCTGGCCATTGGGTCATTGACCTGACCTGGAAGGTCAACAAATAACCTAGAACCTTAAATTGGATATAATCGGCTTCCTCTCGTCACGGGTAACACGCTCGTTTTTTTTCCGCAAAGCTCTAGCGCGATCTGGAGCCAAACGGCAGACGGCAGAGGGGTCCACCGACCCCCCACCCCCAAACACACACGTTAGACGTTAGACGTTAGCGGAAAGTTGCGGCGTGATGGCCGTGGTTCGACCACGCTTTCGGGATGACAGAGTGGCTGTACCCACGCTGGGGCCAGGTCTCACGGCTCCGCGAAGTGGGGACGATTCGGAGCTACTCGAGGTTATGCTTTCCAGCTCCATTTGGTCGGCTGCCGCCCGCGCCTCCTCCGACGCGACGCCTTGCTCCTCCTCCTCTCTTTGGCGTCATCCCTCCTCCTCTTCCTCTTTTCTTGGGAATCGAGCGCCATGCCTGCCTATTTCATTCTATCCCGTCTCCCTGGCTCACGTTGGGCGAGAAGGAAGGCGCGATCTTCCGGGATGGTTATCAAGGACATTGCGTCACCGTGGGCGATATCAAAGATGTTTTCCAGACTTTTCTTGAATGCGTCGTCCTCGTTGCCTGTTTGGGTGGCGGAAGTCCTGTTCTTGTTCTTTTTCAGGCGTTTCCACTCGTCGAAGAGAGTTTCTACCTTCTTGACCGCTCTCCCTTTGTGCTGGGTGGGATTCCTCTGGCCCTGACCCAGAACTCCTCTACCTTCTCTAACGTCCGGTTGGCCGCTTCCCGGACCGTTTCCTAGAGGATTTGGTGGCGGTGGAGGAAGTAGGCGAGAGATTGGCCGCGGGATGGGAGCTTGCATAGGTGGTGGAACGGGGGGGGGGGGGCACCGGAGCACCGTGCCCCCCTTAATTTTGCCACTTTAACATTAGCCCTATGGGCGTTGCATGGAAAGAATGGGACCAAAAGTCGGCAGTACCCCCCCCCCCCCCTAATTGAAGGTGTTCCGCCGCTACTGGGAACTTGGAGCCAAGGAGTTCATCACTGGGGGAAACCATGTACCCAGAAGTTTGCGACGCAGAAGTTTCCTTGGGAATCGAGCGCCATGCCTGCCTATGTCATTCTATCCCGTCTCCCTGGCTCACGTTGGGCGAAGCCTGAGGAAGAGGGAACGAACATTGATCGACGAAACGGACATTGAGCCAACATTGATGAACGAACGAGCGTTGAGCTACCAGTAAATAATGAAGTAGGGATCTGAAATTTTGACAGACATGTTTTTTCGTTAAACGGCACCGATTGAAGGGGCGCAAGGTATCCAAATACGACTTTCGAAAATAAGGACCACCCTAATGCAGATGCATGCACTGTGCACGACGCACGTAGTTACGCATGTTTAGTGCATGCATAAAGTATTCATATTCTGCTCCAACGGTTAAAACACAGGTCGTCTGTCAGTCGTTTTAACATCAATGTTTGAACAATGGTAGGCCGAACGTTATTCTATAGTTGCGAACGGATTTAATCATTCGACGAATTGCTTATACATAAAACTAAAAGCGTTTAAGCGTCTTTGAGCCTTGACTGTTTTTCACCGTAGCTTGTAAAAGTGCATTTCGTTTAAGTTTACTATAGTTATGTCAGCATCAATAGGCGTTACTCCCCATGAACAAACTCTGTGAACCACAGGGGATTTTGCGAGCGGCACCGAAACAGGAAGCGGTTCCGCGACGCTTACGTCACGGGAAGAGGCCTGCCACGTCACTGGGAACAGCTGACTACCTATCAGCGGTGTCGTAACATCACAGTGGCGCAGCCTGCAAGTTAACGTCAGCAAGTTTTTGTTCACTTTTATACGGCTATTCGATCTATACCGCATCGATTTCTTAGCTTTCGGTGGACTAATCTCAACCGATGTCACAACAATTTTATTGACGTGTTTTCCTCACCTTTAAGCACAACCAGTTTCTTTGGAAACTGGAAGGCCGAGCTAAATTCATAACCGTCAGCAGTGTTATGCTGAACACGCCCGTAAAGGCCCTGACGAGTTGTGAAGACGGCGAATTGTGACGTACCCGACTGGCCCGCCAGCTGCGGTCACACAGCATTGTATAATATTAGATATACACTGGGGAGTTGTGACAGACAGGATCGCGCTATGCGGCCTCGAGCAAAAACTGGTCTTCAAGGTTGACGTCTCCGCTGGCGGGTATGTAGTGTAGGTAGTCCATAGGCGGCGGAACGGGGGGGGGGGGCACCGGGGCACCGTGTGTCGCGATTCCCCCTCCCCGCCTCGGCTGAGCGGGCCACGTAACTCCATATGCCGTGAGTACCCCTCCCCCTGCCTGACACCTGAGCGGGCCGCCGCGGTCGTCGCATGGAAAGTTACCGGGTGTGTGGACTGTAAAACTGATAATGATTGGCTGTTTTCGACCAATGGTTTGGGTTGTCTGTCTACTTTTATTTGGCAGCAATGTGGAAGCCTGCACTGAACGACCGTTTTCCAATACAGTTCACTACCAGAGGTCCACCCGTTTGTACCGCCGACCGACCGAATCAGCGTTCGTAACCACCATTAATCACATAAGGTCCTCCGGGCCGGATGGCTGATCCTTTTCAGTCATTTGTTTTTGCTTTTGATTTCGTTTGTGAGAGTCGATACCGTCAAGATTTTGAAGTGCTGTGCTTGTGCGTGATATATCAAGATGGAGGAGGAGCTGAAAATCAGGAGCCGTCTGAGAGGTAAAGCCACCCGTCTGAGTAATGATTTGAGAGAGTACCGAACCTCTCCCAGTGTTGATCAGGATGATCTTGCATATAAGATCCATGTGCTGGAGAAAGTCAGGACTGAGTTGAAGGAGGTACAGGTCATGTTGGATAAAGCAGAGCTGTTTGACGATTCCAACCACGATGATGTCATGTCTGAGGAGCTGTTCAAAGCTTCACGTCTGCTCAGTCGCCTCGAATCTGCCTCAGATAACCCCAGCCCGGCAGATAGGGGTTTTGATGACCAGCAGTTCGACCTGCGCTCGTCGTTGGTGGTCAAGCTGCCTACCTTCGAAGGCGACCTGCTGAAGTGGGCGGAGTTTTGGGAGCTGTTTAAGGTGTCCGTCCACTCCAACAAAAGGTATGCTGACGTGCAAAAGTTTGTACTGCTTAAGTCTCTGCTGGGAAACGTGCCGAAACAGGTCATAGAGGGTATACCCGTGTCGGAAGAGGGATATCGTGCGGCTGTGGATGTTTTGATACGTCGTTATGCCAGAGATGATGTGAGGCGGGACATGCTGTTGAAGCAGCTCCTTGAGCTGCCTGGTGTGTCCAAACATGATGACTTGAACGCTCTGCACCGCCTGATTGACCAACTGACCGCTCGTGTACGAGGCCTGGAGGCTCTCGGGGTGACTTCTGACACTTTCTCCAGCATCCTCTTGCCAGTGGTCAAGGAG